TAATATTAATGAATATCTATTGAACATGTATATATTGAATTTGTTAATGAATATATATTTATGTCAATGACTTTATTATCTTTGTTTATGAAAATATATATAACTAGGTAAAATGCCACCGAAGAATAAGGATAGCGGTAAGAAGTCTCAGCGTCCGAGGGTAGTAACATGTGAGTCTCCTCACTCAGCCATGTGCCCACCCCCTCAGAGTCAGGTTGATCCTATGTCCCTGGCCAGTACTCAGGGTTTTGTCCCATTACTCTCCTCCCATACATTCCCGTCTGGGGTACCTGCATCTTTTGTGCCACCTGGAGGCCCCGGTTTCCTTTTCCCACAGACTCAGATGCCGTCTTCCTTCCAGCATGCGGGAGGATCTAGTTTCCCTTTCCCACCGACCCAAATGCCGTCATCCTTCCAGCAGGCGGGAGGATCTAGTGTTCCTTTCCCACCGACTCAGATGCCATCTTCTTTCCAGCATGCGGGAGGATCTAGTTTCCCTTTCCCACCGACCTAGGTGCCTTCATCTTTCCAGCAGACTGGTGTCCCCTCATCATTCCAACAGACGGGGGGAGGACCCAGTTTTCCATTTCTACAGACTGGCGTGCCTTCATCATTCCAGCAGACGGGGGGACCCACACAGATGTCTTCATCCTTCCAACAGGCGGGAGGGTCCAACACCCCACACTCCACACACATTGGAGGACCCAGCAGTCCACGTCCGACACAGGCTGGACGATCCCCCAGTCCCCGTCCCACACAGGCTGGAGGAACCCGCGCCCCACGTCCTAGACGGACCGGAGGATCACGCACCCCACATCCCACACAGGCTGCAGGATCCAGCACCCCACGTCCTACACAGGCTGACGGTGATGCAGATGTGGTAGCTGATGATATAGATGGAGCTGATCTTCGTGAGAGAGATGATCCGAGTGAGATTCATGTCATTGACGGGAGGTTTTGGATTTGGCCCGAAGGAAGCAAGTAAGTTTCTTATATAAACTTTTATTTAAGTACATATTCATTTTAATATTTTGTATAAATTTATAATTAATATTGTTTATTCAAAATCTTGTTGTTTAGTTTCGCGCCGAGTCGGACTGCTGCCAAGGTTATTAATTATATAATCCAGCAGATGTATAAATAATTTTGGAGGAACTTTGGGGAGGTTACAAATAAAGAAGAATGGTTTAAAAAATTTAAGGTATTGTTATTTATTTAAGTTGTAAATTTAATATATTTTTTTAGTATTGTTATTTAAGTCACATTTTAATGATAATTACTTAACTTTTTATTTTAATGTCATACAACATTGCAGGAAAAATGTGTGTGGGATCCGTTGAATGAGAAAATTATGGAAAAAATCTATTATAGCAGAACTTCTAGAAGATTTTCTGATATAATGCGGCGGGTTAGGGAGAATTATGAGCTGCATGGTATCCGTCCTAACTGGATAGACGTAGAGGTTTTTGGTGAACTTCGTACATATTGGGGTTCGCCAGAATTCAAGGCCAAATCCGAAAATTTTAAGAAGATGAGGGCATCCGAAAAGGGGGGATGTGTCAATACTGTTGGAAGTATTAGCACTGCAGAGCATGTCCGGCGGATGGTAAATATTACTAATTTTTTAAGTTATATATATTTTTATTCATAATATTTTTTACTAATTATTTTTAACTTTATTGTTTAGACTAAGGAGATGGGGAGACCACCATTGATCATTGAGTTGATTACGAGGACTCGGACAAAGAAATCGGGAGGTTTTATCGACGAGCGCACAAAGAGAGCTTTTGTAAGTAATTTAATTTATGTTTTTTTAAGTTAATAACAAAAATAGTGACGTTATTTTCATGTGGCAATCTATAAGTTGTGGCGTGATTATCATGTGGCAACTGATAAATTGCCACGTGACTGATTTTCATGTGGCAACTAATACATTGCAACGTGAAAATCACGTGGCAATTCATAAGTTGATTTGTGAAAATCACGTGACAAATTTTTAATATATTTGAATTTAGTATAATTTAATATATAAATGTTTTAATTTAGCATAAATTTAATATATATATATATATATATATATATATATATATATATATATATATATATATATATATATATATATATATATATATATATATATATATATATATATATATATATATATATATATATATATATATATATATATATATATATATATATATATATATATATATATATATATATATATGTAATTTTTTTTAAATTTTATTATTTAATGTATGTGTAGGATGATTATCAGACATTGCTTGCACGTTTTCTGGAACACAATCCTCAATATAGGCCAGCAGAAGGGGAGCCGCTTAATGGTGATGTTGATTTCTATATTTGGAATGAGGTTGTCAATGGAAAAGGGCCTAATAGTTGCTTTTTTGCGGGAGGAAATTTGGCCGCCGGCTTGAGAGTTGGTGATCGTAATCTGTTTCAACGACTTAGAGATGGAGAGGGAGGGTCACGTCAACCGAATCTGACACAGGATCAACTTGAAACAGTAAGACAATTGGCGGCAAGTGAAGTGAGACGCGAAATGGAGGCTCAAATGACGACAATGAGGCAAGAGCAGGAGCAGCAGTTAGAGATCATGCGGAAGAGGCAATCTGATATGGAGGAGCATATGAGACGATTTATGCAAGGTGGTGGAAATCAAAATGTTTCTGATACACAGCCGGATGATGACGGAATTGATGATTTTGATCTTGATAATTATCCGGGTGAAGATGCCCCGTGAAAACATTTTATTTATTTCGTTTTTAAATTTGCATTTATGTAAGATATTTATTTTTATCATTTTAAATTATTAAATTATATAACATTTTATTATATGACTTTATTTTATAAAATTCTATTATTCGAATATATAATAAAATACTATTATTCTAATAATTTTAATATATAAATTTTATTATATAAATTTTATTATATAAATTTTATTATATAAATTTTATTATATAAATTTTATTATTTAAATTTTATTACATAAATTAATTAATATAAAAAATAATTACTAAACAATTTTTTAAAAAATAAAAACGTCACCTGTAGCGACGTGGGAATCATGTCACAAATTAGTGAAATGATTCTCACGTCGCACCTAAAGCTGCTGTATGTCAGATTGTATATTCCCTAAACAAAGCTTTTGCGACGTGAATACCACGTCACAACTTTGTGACATGGGAATCACGTCGCTACTGGCTTGCCACTGGCTCCCCAGCGACATATGTCTCCACGTCGCTATTTTTGTTTTGCCATGTGATTTTGATGTTTGCCACGTGATTTTCACGTGGCAAATAAGCTTCTTTTTTGTAGTGGAAGGAGTTACAAGATAAAATGTATGTCTTGAATTTTTTTTTTTTGAAATTAGTATATTTTCTGAATTTGATTAATTTATAGGTTATATATATTTTCTGAATTTCATGAATTTGCATTGGGTTAAAATTGTTGAATTTGGGTTATATATATATATATATATATATATATATATATATATATATATATATATATATATATATATATATATATATATATATATATATATATATATATATATATATATATATATATATATATATATATATATATATATATATATATATATATATTCTGTATTTGAGTTAAATGTTAGGTTTAATTATTTAGTTTATAATAATTATTAATTTGTGATGAATGAGTTTAATTATTTTAGGAGTTTAAGTTTTTATATTTTTAGGAGTTTATAAATTTTTAGTGTTTAAATTAAATTTTTAGGAGTTTAATAAGTTTTTAAATTTTTAGGAGTTTATAAAATTTAGGTGTTTAAATTAAATTTTAAGTGTTTAAAAATAAATAAATATTTTTAGGAATTTATAAATTTTAAGTGTTTAAATTAAATTTTTAGGAGTTTAATAAGTTTTTAAATTTTTAGGAGTTTATAAAATTTAGGTGTTTAAATTAAATTTTAAGTGTTTAAAAATAACTAAATATTTTTAGGAGTTTATAAATATTTTTGAAAGCATATATTTATCTTTAATTATATATGTTTAGGATTATTATTAAGTTGATTAATTAATATTTCTAATTAAATAGGTTTTGATTATATAAATTTGCAGTAAATGGAATATTATATGTATTATCGTAGTTGGATGTACGATAGACTATATCCAGGAAGACGCGCACTTAAACCTAATTTTATAGACGGAGTTAATGGTTTTATCGCGTGGACGTTTGCCCAGGAACGTTGTCGAAGTAAAGGAGGAGTTAGGTGTCCTTGTCTTAAATGTGGATGTAGATATATAATTAGTGACCCAGAGGAAATAACACGTTATTTGCATAGGAAAGGTTTCATTGAAAATTATTGGGTTTGGACGTATCATGGTGAAACACTGCCGAGTAATGTACCAGAGACTAGCAACACAGATGCTTCAAGTAGTCAACCGGTTATGCAACCACCTATGGAATTTGAAGAAAACTTTAATCTGATAGGTGACATGGTTGGTGATGCTTTTGGTGTTAACGTGACCTATGATCAACCTGAAGACTTTGACGGGGAAGAGCAGAGATTTTATCAGTTGTTGAATGAGATGAATACGCCGTTGTTTGAGGGGTCGTCAGACTCAAAGCTATCAATGTGTGTTAGATTATTGGCCGCCAAGTCAAATTGGAATGTTCCTGATCAGTGTTTGGAGTACTTCACAAAAATGATGTTGGACTCAACTGCAACGAAAGACAACTTGCCTGCGAGTTTCTATGATGCAAAGAAGTTGGTGTCGAAGTTGGGTTTAAGAGTAAGAAAGATTGATTGTTGCATTAATGGTTGTATGTTGTTTTATGACAACGAGTTTGGTACTCAAGATGGATCGTCAGAGGAATGTAAGTTTTGTCATAGTCCAAGATATAAAGTTCGCAATAGAGCCATTAACAGTAACCAAAAACGGGTAGCAGTAAAGTCCATGTTTTATCTTCCGATAATACCAAGGTTAAAAAGAATGTTTTCTTCAATGCACAGTTCAAGTCAAATGACATGGCATCATACAAACAAAACAAGCCCAGGCAATATGCGACACCCATCTGACGGCCATGCATGGAAGCACTTTGATGAGGTACATCCTGATTTTGCCGCTGAACCTAGAAATGTCAGGCTTGGATTATGCTCTGATGGTTTTGCTCCATATGTCCAAGCGTTCGGAAGTGCGTATTCTTGTTGGCCAGTTATTGTAACCCCTTACAATCTCCCTCCTGAGATGTGCATGACAAAACCATACATGTTTTTGACGTGCGTCATTCCAGGACCGTCGAGTCCAAAAACCGGAATTGATGTGTACTTACAACCTTTAATTGATGATTTGAAGAGGTTGTGGAATAATGGAGAATGGACTTATGATATATCCCATAAACAAAACTTTTCTATGCGAGCTGCCTTGATGTGGACCATTAACGACTTTCCAGCATATGGCATGTTGTCTGGTTGGGGTACGCATGGCAGAATGGGTTGTCCGCATTGCATGGAATGCACTAAGGCGTTTACATTGGAAAAAGGGGGGGAAAGCTCGTGGTTTGACTGTCACCGCAGATTCCTACCATCAAATCATCCCTTTAGAAAAAACAAGACAAATTTCAAAAAGGACGAACGGGTAACAGATCTGCCTCCGCCTCGATTGGCACCAGTTACTATATGGAACCAAGTTTATGAACTTCCAAAGTTTACAGATACTGGCAAAGCATGTAGAATTGAAGGATATGGGGTCACACATAATTGGACAAAAAGAAGTATATTTTGGGACCTCCCGTATTGGAAAGATAATTTGTTGCGCCATAATCTTGATGTTATGCATATTGAGAAGAATTTTTTTGATAACGTATTTAACACAGTGATGGATGTTAAAGACAGAACAAAAGATAATGTGAAGGCTAGACAAGACATGGAAATTTTGTGTAATCGTAAAGAGTTGGAATTGAAGCCTCAACCAAATGGAAAATTATTTAAACCCAAAGCTTGTTTCAGTCTGACCCCCAAGAAGCTAAAGCGGTTTGTGGATGGCTAAAAGGTTTGAGAATGCCCGACGGGTATTCTTCAAATTTAGCAAGGTGTGCTGATGCTAACACTGGGAAGTTGCATGGTATGAAAAGTCATGATTGCCATGTTTTTATGGAACAATTGCTACCAATTGCGTTCAGTTCTCTACCCAAACATGTGCTTAATCCACTCACTGAAATTAGTCAATTTTTTAGAGATATTTGTGCTTCAGCTTTAAGAGTGGATGACATCATTAAGTTGGACCAAAATATTCCAGTCATTCTCTGAGGATAGTATCACATCAGATGACGATGATGAAATGGATGACGAACATGACGATTCAGAATAGTGAACCTATATTCATGAGAATTGTGTCTTGTAATTTTACTTAACGAACCATTTATTGATTGATTTAGTGAATATGTATTCATGAGAATTGTGTCTTGTAATTTTACTCAAAGAACCATTTATTGAATGATTTAATGAATATGTATTCATGAGAATATGTATATGTTAACTTGTATTTTCTTTAATTAGGTAAAAATTCCACCCAAAGATAATAAGGGTAAAGGTCCTAGTGATAGTGGTAGGAAGCCTAGGCGTCCAAGGGTAGTAGTAGTATGCAAGTCACCTCACTCAGCCACGTGTCCTCCCCCGCAGAGTCAGGTTCATCATATGTCCATGGACAATACTATGCCATTTACTCCATTACTATCATCTCAGAGTCCTCTTCAGTTCCCATCTGGGAGTACATGTTTTATTAGTCCATCTGGGGCCCCACCTGGTTTACCATTCCAGCAGACACAGGTGCCCTCATCCTTCCAGCAGACACAGGTGCCCTCATCCTTCCAGCAGACACAGGTGCCCTCATCCTTCCAGCACAGTTTTCCATTTCCCACCCAGATGCCCTTATTCGTGCAGCAGCCTGGAGGATCCAGCACCCAACTTCCTACACAGATGCCCCCATCCGTCCAGCAGCCTGGAGGATCCACCTCTTCACGACCCACACAGACTAGTCGCACCCCCACATCCCACACAGAGTCGGATGATGACGATCTTGGTGTGGATGATGATCAGATAGATGGGAGAGATCTTCGAGGGGATGATGATCCGAGTGAGATTCATACCATTGATGGGAGATTTTGGATATGGCCTGAAGGGAACTCGTAAGTTTCTTATTTATTGATTTTTATTTATAAGTACACATTTCCATTTTTAATATAACTTTATATAATTAATTATGCTAATTCAATTATTGTTGTTTTAGTTTCGGGCCGAGTCGGACTGCTGCTAAGGTTATCAATTATATAATTCAGCAGAATTATACAAAAATTTTGAAGAGTTTTAGAGAAGTTTCCGATAAAGAAGAATGGTTCAAGAAATTTCAGGTATAATTAATTTATTTCTTAAGTTATTTTTATTTAAATGACCTTTTCATTATTGTTATAATTTATCTAACTATTTATTTTAATGTCATACAACATTGCAGGCGAAATGTGTTTGGGATCCCCTGAACCATAACAAAGTAAAAAAAAATATTTGGGAGGAGTTCAAGACGACTTTCTGACATGCTACGACGTGTTAGAGAGAATTGGCATCTTTTGGGCATTCGTCCCAAATGGATAGGCAAAGAAGTTTTTGAACAACTTCTTAAGTATTGGGAATCAGATGAATTTAAGGCTAAATCTAAAACTGCAAAGAAGATGAGGGCATCGGAAAAAGGGGGTTGCATTAATGCTGTTGGAAGTATTAGTACTGCTGAGCATGCTCGATGCATGATAATTATTACCACTTTTTAAGGTCATATTTGGATTTATAACATATTATTAAGTTAATTTTTATATTTAGGCTAAGCATTTGGGGAGACAATCATTGATGACTGAGCTGGTTAAGGAGACTCGGACAAAGAAATCGGGAGGATTTACTGACGAGCGCATAAAAAAAGCCCTGGTAAGTAAATTTATGTTTATATTTTTTTAAGCAATTTTGTGACGTGATTTTCATGTAGCAAGTGACATGTTGTGGCGTGAAAATTGAGTGGTAACTGATAAGTTGTGGTGTTACAATCACGTGGCTATTTACTTTTTATTATTTTTTTTATTTCATTTAATTTCATTAATGTTACTTATAAATTTAACTTGATTTTTTTATTGTATGTGTAGGAGGATTATCAGGCGTTGCTTGTGGAATTTCTGACCCATAATCCTCAGTATACGCCTCCTTCAGAAAAACCGGTTCATCCAGATGTGGATTTCTATATTTGGAGTCAAGTTGTTGGGGGAAAGGGGCCTAACGGGTGTTTTTTTGGTGGTGGAAATTTGGCGGGCACCTTGAGGAGTGGGGATAGAAATCTGTATCAGAGAGTTGCAGACGGTGAAGGAGGGTCACGTCAAACAAATTTGACACCAGATCAGTTAGAACTGGTAAGACAATTGGCTAGACGCGAGTCCGAAGATCGTGAGGCGGCATTGAAGGCCCAAATGGATGCCCGAATGGAGGCAATGAGGGGTGAACATAATAGACAAATTGAGGCAATGGCGAAGAGGCAAGCTGATATGGAGGAGCAAATGCGACAATTTATGCAAGCATTTGGTAGAAATTCCAACAGTGGTGGCCAAAATAATAACCACCAAAATAATGATGACTTTCTTCCCGACATTTCCGACGACTCTAATGATTCTGCTTAGTTTTATTTTTATTTTGTATTTAGTTTTTTATTTGTGTAATATAAATTTATAATCATATTGTATATTTAAAAATATTATAAATTTAAATTTGAGTTTATTAAATTTATAATATTAAGTATATTTATTTATACATTTAGATATATTTAGTTTTGTTTTTGATAATTTGATTTATAATATTGTATTTAATAAATAAATTATAATATTTAATTTATAAATTTAATAAAACAAAAAATAATATTAATTAATAAAACAAAATTAATATATTTAAAACACAAAATATATATTTTTTAAATAAAACAAGTTGCGGCGTGTTTTTCATGTCACTAATTAGTGACGTGAAAAACACGTCGCTACAACTAACGTAAATATAAATGTGACTGCTCTGCTCTGCTCTGCTCTGCACACTTTCATCCTATACAGTATGTTGCGGCGTGAATTTCACGTGGCAACTTGGTGACATGCTTTTCACGTCGCAACAAGATTGCCACACGCTATATAGCGACGTGTTTCTTAAGGTGGCAAAATTTGAATAGTGGCGTGATTTGGGTGTTAGCGACGTGGCTTTCACGTGGCAAAACACAAGTTATTTTGTAGTGAGAGCGCGCTTAGCGGGATTGTGCCGCTTAGCATGGTCCCCTGTACAGAATTGCGTTAAAATGGCCAAAGTTCACATTTTTTAGGTTATGTTTTAGGGTATTTGTTCCCAACTCATCAAACCTTCATTTTTTGATAGATTAACTTAGAAAACAACATTAGGGCCTTGCTTATGGATGATTGAAGGTGAATTTCTCTTCGACCAACGCTGACAAACCGAAAGATTTAGGGTTTATCTTTTCTCCCCTCTTTGTATTTCTCTATTTGTTGGATATTGTTTGTATATTCACTTTGAACATATGTATATTTGTTGATCATGGTGTTATATAAAGCTTGCTTTACAAATCAATCTTGATGTCTTCTTTGATCTATTTTGCTTTATGTTTGGATTTAGGTTGTTATAGACATATACCTCACAAATCTTGATTACAGATGAATATCTATTAGTTTCTAGATTCTAAAGATAGATTTAGATTTAATATTCACTTTGGGTGTGTGATACGGTGGGAGAACTGACTAGTGTTTTGCGTTCGTATTCGCACTTGTACGGTTGAGCAAGAGTCTCCACCGACTTTTTATTTTATCCTAAAGGAAAGGTTAAAAAAAGCACAGCAAAAACCTTTTGAGATATTTCGTGGGTTCGGGGGGTAGATTATGAAAAGGGAAGGTATTAGCACCCTTTCCATCCATGGTTATCCATGGGCTCTTAGTTACTTGGTTTTTTAGATCACTTGCCTTGTTTTTCGATTGCTTTGAAAATGGTGTGTGTGTGGGTGCTTTTGAAAATGTTTTTGGAAAAAGATGCCTTGTCTTAGGCAACTAATGTATTTGACTCGTGATTGAGTGTTTTACAAAAGTGTGGATCTTTTCGAAAAGATGTTTCAAATGTTTTTGAGAGTTTGTTTGAAAGTATTGTGGATTGTGGTTTTTGAAAAGAAGGCAAGTGTTTTTGCAAATTGATCTCAAGTAACTAAGAGTTTTGTCTATCCTATTGTACTCAAAGGTTTTTGTCATGTTTTAACCCCTTTTAACAATTTTGTTCCATCATTGAAATTGATGGACAATCTTGCGTTTAGGAAGTTTATTCGGGACGGGCGCGGGTCATCGTATGGACCATGAATGCAATGGTGCCAAGTGTCTTTGGCAATTTGTTTTGAAGGGACTATGATCATTCCGTTTAGGCAACACTTTGAGACTTATGATCATTTGATTTTGTTTTGCCAAAGATACTCGACGTGCAAGCATGGCCCATTTTGGAAGGCAACATGTGGGGATTACCCTAGAGGGTGCAAGTGTGATTGTGTATTGATTACATGTATTTGTCTTGTATTAGGTTATCT